AAAGTGTCCTACCACAAACCATTTAGGATTCTCGTTGTCGCAGTTTACCTTCTTTATCCCTTTTGTTTTCAACGACATGACAGCCGGATTTGTATCTCCAGATGATTTGTATGATTGTCTCACCAACTGTGTGGAGAAGCTACAATGCAGAGCTTCTACGACGAAGTGTATCAAGCATGAATATTGGAGGCTGTAGTAATAGGTAAGGACCACTTTGCGCGTCTTTCTTTCTTCCCTTCTCAAGATGAACAATCTTTCGCATATGTCTTACCTTACATCACATATTGTAAACATGGTGACTAGTTTTTACCTCATTCTGAAGAAATTACCCTCTCAGTTGGATATTCGATGTCAATAACAGTGTTGAAGCAATGCTGACTGAGTTGCAGATACGTGTTCCTAGACATTCGACAAACGATATCCGATGAGAGATGGCGTCAGGAAGGGCATGCTGAAGTCTCTTATCACTGTAGTTATCCTAGATCAGCTGCTTTGTAGCATTTAGTTCCATTAGGTATTTGTCTTCTATCTCAAAAGTTCCATTCTTTTCTCGACTTTCTCCTCAGGCATCAGCTGGATGTATAGGGTTAGCGCCATGTGGTATCCCAAAACGGGTCTCTCACATGTGACAATTGAACAGCGTCATCTTACTCTCTCGCACTGCAACAGTTGTTACAATTTCGCTGGTCGCGATATTTGTGTTAGCTCGCTCGTCTCTTCCCCGATAAGGACGTTTTGTCAGCGCAGCGACTCTTTCAGCTGCAAAAGTCCAGCCTAACTATCACTTCGCTAGCTCACCTCCGAGCAATGGCCGCAGTGCGTTCTGAGTAGATTCCGCTTTTGCTGCCCATTTTCGCCCTTGCTACTACACCCTCTTGACGCACCATTCCGCCATGGAGAAGTTCTCCCAATTTCGAGATCGGGGTTTGTATTCCCCTGTCTACCCCGCTGATTGTCATGAAGGCTAAGTGCCCGTGGTTGCAGGATCGGGCATTGCCCCATTTCTTCCCATCCCCTCTCAACCGCTGGGCTGGAAGCTCCCTCTCGGAATCTTCTTATTCTGCTTTCGCCTTCCACTGCTCATTTTTGTGTGCTTGAGTTATTTCCTCCTGCTTCAATGGTTGCCGATAGGCTCGTTAGGGAAGAAGGCTTCGCTATGGTGTATTCTCGGCGTCCCCAGTATCTGGTGGATTGACCTCCAAGTGGACGGTGTGAGAAAGGGGTGCGCCACCTTTCCTTCCATTCACTACATACTGAAGCAGGACTGACCAGGTCCGACTTCGCAGATCGCTCTCAAAACAACATCAAGCCCGTCTCCCCGGCCCCGGCTCCGTCATCGCCTCCTCCTTCACCTCCCCTATCGACCCGCTCTACCTGGCAGCCATCTTCGACCCCGTTTTCACAGTCTCATACCCCAACTCGCGCCGCGTCGAACACATCTCGCTTTTCCAGGCTATCCTGCGCGCATTTGCCGCCCCGCAAGTAAGGCCGTCGCCCGGCGCGCGCCTCGTCGACATCGCAAGCCTACTGGAACAATATCCCGGTCGGCCCATCGTTACCTTCCCCGAGTGCACCACGACCAATGCTCGCGGCGTCCTACCGCTGAGCTACTCGCTTCTGGGCGTTCCCGCGACGACCAAGATCTTCCCTATTAGCTTGCGGTATACACCGGGGGATGTGGTCACGCCGCTGCCTGGGAGCTACCTGAGTTTTCTGTGGAAGCTGTTGAGTCGGCCGACGCATTGCATACGTGTCCGGATCGCGGAGTGTGTGGTCCGGGGAGCGGTCAGCGCTGCGGACAAGGCAGCGGCGTCGAAGCTTGCCCGCCAGCCAAGCTACGATACCAATTACTTTGATGTCTTGGAGCAGAGCGATGGGGGTGCGCTTGCCCCTGGTGAGAAGGCGCTCTTGGACCAAGTCGCGGACGCTCTGGCTCGGCTGGGCAGGGTGAAACGTGTGGGATTGGGTGTCAAGGAGAAGCAGGATTTTCTTCGCTCGTGGACGAAGACGAGGCGGACGTGGTGAATTGCCGTCTGAGATTCTTCGTTCAATTTCATTTATAGATGTCTATATTAGATTTCTCTAGATTAGTTGGTCTTGGAAGCTTGATGGCATATCACTGCAACCGAGCTGCCACGATAGGTCGACCAGTACCAGCCAGGACGATCACATTTAATCAGTCTAGTCGGGAAAAAGAAAAAAAGGTATCTGTAATTAATGCGCCTAGTCACACATGTAAAACAATCACTTTTCTGTTCTTTGGTTACATCTTTCAAAGAAACAGGTGTTTTTGCAAATCCCAACACAGGCATTATCCAACCAACGTTCCTCTCTTTGGACGTTTATTCTACAGAGTCAGTAATGCAGCCGTGGCTGGCATCCTTGACGGTTCTACAAGCGGTTAGTATGTCATCATAGGGAATCAAGGCTAGGGAAATAGGTGAGGTGAGACATACCTAGCGTATTTACCCAGGGTACCTCTCATCGTAAGACCAGTCTGAGGCAGCTTGCCGGCATCCCGGAGAGCCTCCCACTCCTGTCTGCGGCGAGCAAGCTCGGTCTCGTCAACGTCGAGGTCGAGCAGACGCTTCTCAGCGTCGATGGTGATAGTGTCGCCATCCTTGACGAGACCGATGGGACCACCCACCGCGGCCTCAGGCACGATGTGACCGATCAGGAAGCCGTGAGAGCCACCGGAGAAGCGGCCGTCGGTGATGAGAGCGCAGGAGGAGCCGAGGCCGGCGCCCATGAGGGCGGAGGAGGGCTTGAGCATCTCGGGCATGCCGGGACCGCCTTTGGGGCCGGTGTAGCGGATGACGACAACGGTCTTCTCCTCCTTTTTGATCTCGCTGCGCTCGAGCGCTGCGATGAAGTCGTCCTCGTGGTCGAAGACGCGGGCCTTGCCGACGAACCGGGTGCCTTCCTTGCCGGTGATCTTGCCGACGGAGCCGCCGGGGGCCAGGGAGCCGCGCAGGATCTGGATGTGGCCGGTCTTCTTGATCGGGTTGGACAGGGGCCGGATGATCTTCTGGTCGGCGGGGAAGTCGGGGACCTTCTCGAGGTTCTTGGCAAGGGTCTCACCCGTGACGGTCATGCCGGAGCCGTCGATGACACCTTCCTTGAGCAGGAACTTCAGCAGGGAGGGGGTGCCGCCGATGTTGTGCAGGTCAGCCATGACGTACTTGCCCGATGGCTTCAGGTCGGCGAGGAACGGGGTGCGGTCCGAGACCTTCTGGAAGTCCTCGATGTCGAGCTTGATGCCAACCGAGTCGGCGATGGCGATCAGGTGGAGGACGGCGTTGGTCGAGCCACCGGTGATGTTGACGACGATCATGGCGTTCTCGAAGGCCTGGCGGGTCAGAATGTCCGAGGGCCGAATGTCCTCCTTGAGCAGCCGCTTGATGGCCTCACCGGCAGCCAAGCACTCGAGGTCCTTGGCCTTGGACTCGGCCGGGTTAGACGAGGAGCCGGGCAGCGTCATACCCATGACCTCGATGGCGGTCGCCATGGTGTTAGCCGTGTACATACCGCCACAGGCACCGCCACCGGGGCAGGCGTTGCGGATGATGTCGAAGCGCTGGTTCTCGGTGATCTCGCCGGTCAGGAACTGCCCGTACGCCTGGAAGGCCGAGACGATATCGATATCGGCGTTGTTCTGAGTCTTGGCGCAGCCGGGCTTGATGGTACCGCCGTACACCATCAGACTGGGGCGGTTGACACGGCCCATGGCCATCAACACACCGGGCATGTTCTTGTCGCAACCGGGGATACTGATGTTGGCATCGTACCACTGGCCACCCATGACGGTTTCAATGGAGTCGGCGATCAGGTCACGGCTCTGCAGAGAGAACCGCATCCCCTTGGTGCCCATACTGATGGCGTCGCTGACACCAACCGTGTTGAACTGAAAGCCGACCAGACCGGCCTTTTGCACACCTTCACGCACCCGGTTGCTGAGATCGAGGAGGTGCATGTTGCAGGGGTTGCCGTTGTACCAGACAGACGAAATACCGACCTGCGCCTTGTTCATATCCTCCTCTGTCAGGCCCGTAGCGTACAGCATAGCCTGGGAAGCACCCTGCGAGATGGGTTGTGTGACATTGCGGGAGACCTTATTCAAAGCGGTTTCTTCGCTATCTTTGTGTCTGGGGAGAGTAGTCGAGAGGGAACGACTGGATCGAGATCGATTCGTTAGCAGCGATCCTTCTTAGCACGAAGATCTATTCAGAACAGCCATTGCCTACCGAGAGAAGCTCCGGAGAGCCGAGGGCAGACGCCCTCTGGTCTGAGAGAGAAGCATGGCAGTCAACGATGGAAATCAAGTTGACGACGGCCAATGACCAGCAAGAAAGATGAATAATACTGACAGGCTCCCCGGATCCAGGAGGTAGCTGTAAGATTTCAGACTTTGGGGAGGTTATAATTTTGAGAAACGATGGCTCATTATTGCTGCTGCGGGAGAGCTGGAGAAAGGTGATTCCGCCGGCCCCGGAGTCCTGCTTCTTCTCCCCGACGCCGCCCTCCGATGCCGGCAGTAGCCAATCCACAGCCGAGGATTGTCAGCATCACGAAAGAGCTACTGTGTACGCACTGTATATCGTTAATTGGATAATTCAAGATATCATGACTCATAACTCATTTTCATTCGGAAGACATGACACCCCCGATCAATGTCTGAGCTATCGTGGCCTTCAATGCAAACTCATACCAAGTACATCATACTTAAGGAACATAGGACCTGGGCCATGAGGCGAAGTAGAACAAGACGAAAACAAGGAGAAGAAAAGAAACCATATCTAGGGGTATAAAATCTCTGGTCTAGAAAAAGTAATCCAAGAATGTAAAGGTGAATGCAAAAGGAAAATCGTGAGCATGAAGACCGGTCGTCTCTCGGAACCCATCACCAAATGACCATGTATCGCTGAGAATAGCAGAAATAGAATGCAGAAACAAAAGAAACCCTGAGGAACAAAAGCGTAACAACGCGCAAGAGACCAGCTCTATGGCACTTCCCTGTCCCCTCGCTTGAGCCCACCTGGAACATCAATTGCATCTTTGACCCAGTCCAGGGCCGCAATCTCGTCGAGGCCCTTTCGCCTGGTGTTGCGCTTCAGTAGGCCCTCGACGCACTCACGAGCACCTTCCAGGTCCTTTCCCTTGACAGGATCCCACTCGCCATCACTGTCGGCATATCTATACCACGCCCATTCGCATCGAGCGATGCGGTGCGGTGTCCGGGCTCGAAGTTTGTCGGGGTCGCCTCGGGCACCAGGCAAGGCATCAAACGGCAACCGATTCTCCATCATGGCATAGAGGAGCACTCCCAGGGCCCATGCATCAGTCGACCGTCCGTCGTATGGTTGTCCCATCAGAATCTCTGGCGCCGCGTAATCTTCACTTCCACAACGGGTCTGAAGCAACGGACTTTCAGGAGGCTCGGGGATACGTCTGGAAAGCCCGAGATCGCTCAACGTGACAACAGCGCGGTCATATGTGCGCCAGTCAGTAATCTTCTCCATCGCCGTGGGAGGAAGCGTGACAAGCACGTCTGTGGAGTAATCAGTCAGCCGTTTCTATCATAACAAAAGGAGCTTGATCAACTTACTCTCGAGTTTGATGTCTCGGTGCACAATGTAATTGCCATGCAGATACCGCACTGCGTCCACAAGTTCTGCGAAGATCCGGCGGATGAGTGCTGCGCTCATAGGCTTGACACCCGATGCAGCAACATCGAAAAGGTCGCCACCAGGACAGTAATCTAAAACCAGGAGCGCACGCTTCTCGTCGCTTCCAAACGCCTTGAGTTGCACAAGAGACGGATGGTTGACGGACTTGAGGATCTCCACTTCCCGCTTGAGGGAAACTTCCAATCGCTCTTCATCTGCACCACCAGCCGGTCCGAACTCAATAATCTTGACAGCAACCAACTTCTGGGCTGCAGGCGCTAGGCCGTCTACAACAGGGCCATCGTGGACTTCGCTGCTTTCTCGGTTCTCCATGCGCACTGCCAGGGAGACTTGACTGAAAGTGCCCTGGCCCAATTGACGCAGCTTGCGATACTTTCGCGGTTGATCAGTTCGAATGGAGCGCACTGAATAAATCTCCTCCGAGGCATCAGGCAACGGAGATTGAAGAATGACGGATTCAACATCGCCCGCTTCATTGCCCCTGCTTCGGGGCGGAGTAGGGGGCCGGACGGTGGGTAAAGCAATGCCCCGCTGGATGGCTAGATATTCTTCGCGGTGGAGGTTGGTTGTTTTCGAATCGGTACTCACCGACGAAGTCATACCCTGGGGTAAACCGGCTCCCGACACCGCGATCGGACGCGGCTTGATGGGCACGCTTCGACCGGGGGGCACATACTCGCTGAGACTTCGATTGCGCGCATGCTTGTGAGCCGTCTCTTGGGGTCCTTTGTCGGGCGCCTCTGGAGAAATTTCAGCAGTGGCTTTTCCCAAGGCCGGATATTGTTTGCGCGATCGAGACTCGGCGGGCCCCAGCATCTGCGAAGAGTCACTGAGACGCAAGCTGAGGCTGGACCCATTCCGTGACATGGCTGAAGAGGTACGCGATAAGGACTGTGAGCCGCGCCGATGTCTCCAAGAAGTCATACCACCAATCGGCGATGGCAAAGGCGTGATGTCGCCCATCGCCACTAATTGGGGAGATGATATTGACGCGGGTGAAAGCCCCTCATTAGGGGCCGAGGTAGCAAGCATCGCGCGAAGACTTGGGGTGCGCCGGGGAATACTTCCAGGCGAGAGGCTTTGGTTCAAATAGGGGTCATTCTCCTTGACGGCATCCATTGATACTGGTCCTGCGATATCCGTGCGAATATGAAGTGATGGTAGGCCGTGGTGGTGGTGCTGAGTTACATTCGCTGGGTCATGGTCTTTATATACCAGCGTCGAGTAATTCCTCCCGTCGCCATGGCTCAAGGACGGCGTAGTATTCGTCGCATTGTCAGTTGAAAGCGTCGTCGCATCAGCTTCGTGTAACCGGGGGAACTGGCTCAAAGGTAAAGACTGTGACCTGCCGGTCCGCTTGCTCGAATCCGAGTCACTCATCGAAAGAGTAAGAAAATCCCACCCTTTGTCTGGTTTCTCAAAGAGAGTTTTCTTTGTTACTGATTCTCACCGTCGGGTGTTCTTTATCGCGTCGTTGAGCGTCCGAACCAGACAGGAAAGATTCGTGTTTAGTTGTTGCGGGTGAGACCGGGCGCTTGGTTAGAGAATGTGACAGCCCCGGGGAACTCTCGGATCAAGCTTTAAGCAAGTCAAGTCGTGCTTGGCGGGAGCAGATAAAGAAGACCTAAGACCCGGGGGTGTTTCAGGCAAAAGATAAGGGACCCAAGGAAACCTTTATGCCTTTAGTCCGACCATGCAAGCTTCGAAACTCGGAGGGAAGAAGGAGAGAAATGACGATGATAAAGGTCATCCAGAAGCCAGGCAGATTGAGGGCACTAGGACACTAACGCGTCCATCTAATAAACTAATGATCTAATAATAATCTAACAGGAACATACTGGTCGTTAGCAGGAGCAGCTACTGCAAATGGTTGTTGATTGATGACGCCGCAGAAAAATCCACGCGGGGTCAGCTGATGGCCCATGCTGGATCTAGACTAGTCCTGTTGGACCAAGAAGGCAGCTCGGTACCCCGCATTCAGTAAGGCTTGGACTGGAAGAGGTTAGTCATTATAAGGTACAGAAGGCGTGGTCTTAATTAGGCAGGCAAGGTATCTGGAACCACTCTTCGAAGGGTCAAAAAATGGAAACAGCACGTGAATTAAATATCTGACTCCAGAGCTGTCTACGACCCCTCTTTATTCCCAATGCTGAGAATATTGATTTATACATCAATGTTCTTAGCGGCAGAGATTGCGCGGACATCTTTGTCGAGTAAGCAGGCGCTAACAGAGGACTGTGCCTTGCATATTAAGAATGAGGGGAGTCCTAGGGCTTACAGTCTGTGCAGATTTATTCTTTCAATTGCTTTCCTAGCCTTGAGAAGAGTCCACAACAAAGGGTTCCCGTATTCTTTCCCTAAGTGGTCTGCTGCTAGAGGTAGTACGTTCCCAAAAAGGAAGGCACATGGTTGCCTAAAAGATCGCATGCATCTATCTAGCATGAGACAGTGGCGGATACCTACTCTGTCATGGTTGATAACCGACAACTAGCATGTCCGAGTATCCATTTCTGCCAAAGTATGTCATTGTGCCTCCTGATGATTTGTCTCCCAGAGGACAAGGGGACTTTCAACACAGCCTTCTTTGTTCTGTAGAACTAGCTGCAACTCTATCCACATCGATCTGGCGAAATATGCATATCATCTGCTAAGCTAATGCACCACAGCATTCTTAGATTTTCGTAAAGTCGATCGCCAAGACTATCCTACTGTTTTGCCAAATCAGCAGTGTTAATGGGCTGTTATTACCATCTGATGATTTTCAGGGCTTACAGAAAGGACTGCCATATTCTCCAGGTGTCGAGGCTTGAGCTGCTTGATTCCTTGCTGCCTGCACGTCCAATCAATCGTCAGTCTTCTTCATTGTCCTTACATCCAATATACTCTCCTGCTGGTCCCGACCACCTATCTCCGAGGATGTCTGATACGGTGTAGAAGAAGAATTGGAAGGAAATTGCAAACGATGAATAATGGCCATGATATTTCTTAGCAGTCACCATCGCAAAGTCAATTTTCCGAAAGTGAACAGCTGGTACAGGTAGAGAGTTTCATGAAGGTTGGGAAGTGTACTCTTCCTTATATTTGCTGTCCCTAGGTGCCCTTAGCATATTTTTCTTTACTGAGACCTGAAGCAAAGGTTCTCATGTAGAACAATATGCCTGAGGGAATAATATGGGAGCATGGTCGTTTTAACTATGTCAATCGCTCCGTTGACCGCTCCATCACACTTGAAGCATGCAGCACAGCCTTCAGATGGTGCTCTTGAAGATATCAAATTGGTGGGACTTAATCCAAGTAGGTAACAAATAACAATGTATTTGATCCACGATCCAGAGTGAGTCTGAACAGTCTTAACCAGGTTCTCCACGGACCTGTAGTTCATACTTGATACCTAGGTACCACAACATGTCGGCTAGCCGAGGCCTCCCGTATCCGAAAGCCCGTCCAAATCTATCTGTAGAATGACAACATATAGACAACTTGAATAGACGGGACCTTCGCACAGGATATGCCTTGCAATGAATATCGAATTGCATAACATTTTGTGAAGAAGTACCTCAAGAAATGCCTCTTCGGAAGTCGAGGTCGCTGAAGTAGGTGCGTTCTTCGGCAAGCCGACATAAGCCTAACCCGGGCAGTATGCGAACTTTCACAGCGGCTGAAGTGCAAAGCCCTCCAAGGAATAACACCTGCATAGCAGTCCACAATACCCCCTATTTTCTAAACATGTTCACGGTGCAGTCTTTTGAATAGTCTAGAGTTGTGACGTGAACAGAATGTCAGAGAGATTTCCGGCAATAGAAGAAACACCAGGGACTGTTAGAAGTATAACTATCCGGTCATTCGGTGTAAAGCGATCAGCACCAAGTTGCATGTCACACGCCTCGAAAGTGCCTGCCGAGCGTCCAGGTATAGTTGTATGTCGAGTTCAGGTGTGCTTAGGGATATTTACGACACGAATCACCTTCGTTTCGAGTCTTTTCATTTGAGCTCCTAAATCATCCAATAAGCAGATCAATGCTCTGACGGAGAGCCTGTGCAAAGGCTGGAGGTGACTATATGTACAGAAACCGTAAAATATGAAAAAAGAAAAACCCATTATCATGCCGGTCCCAACTCACGGATAATGCAAAAAGATGGATACTCTGAGCGCCGGAGTGAAGAGATTTGTGAGGGACGAGAAAGCCGTTCTAATACAGTTGGGAAAAGAAAATAAGGCGAGAATAAAGGAGTATAGCATGAACAGCAACCGCCCGTTTCGCTGAAATAAAGCATGGAGTTTGTGGGTTCTGCGACCTTGTGATGATTCAATTCTCGAGTCGACATGGCTCAAGCGCACAAATTGCAATCGAGCAAAGGTTGGGTTGGTGTTTACAGAAAAGCGCGTCGGATGACCTATGTGATAGTTAGCGAACAATGCTAGTAGAAGCAAGAAACGAGAATGCACGTACAGCCCAGGTACCAGCGATACTAGCCACAATACCACCAGAGATCATCATGGGCTTGAGACCCCTAGTACTCTTGAAGAGCATTCCACTCAAGGCACCTGCAACAATGCTGTTGGCTGAGTCGTGCTTTCCCCGTGCGTAACCCAGTCCCGAGTTGAACCCGTTATATACCATGGCCACCACACCGGCGGAGTTTCCGAGGAACGGTCCTCTCCTGGTAATCGAGTTGAGAACACCGTTCAGCCGAATCTTGGGAGGCGCTGTAACTGGTGTGCGTCTAAGACCTTCAGCAAGACCCCAAGCACCTCCTATCGTCAGCGCAGTAAGGTAGGTAGTTCCAGTTCCGTAACACAAGTCGTCCGACCATCCACGGGATGGCAATACCGATCGCGACCCCGGAATTTCGTCAAGGGCGGAGTCTTCGAGGGTCAGGTAGTCAAGAGTATCTTGGTTCAAGCCAGCAAGAGGATGAAGCTGAGTAGGATCAGGTATGAGAGCTTCGGAGAGGAAGGATGTGGCATCTTGCGCGGTCGAAGGGTCGAAAGCCTCGGATGCTTGGGCCTGCTTGCGGCCGCTGATTGAGTCCCAAATCGCCATTTTGATGTAGGAAAATAATTAAATTAAAACAAGGATAAGAATGTAAATAGGAAGTAGAGCGAAAGAGGTAAAGAGCACTACCCCGACAGCGCGACTGGCCTTGATGGCAGGGTTGATGATGATAGACGAATTAATGGAAGACCGGAGAACAAAAACTTCAGCAGTCACTGATGTCTGTCTCTCACGTCGTTTCCGCCGGGCCGGCATCGGGAAAAATCCTTGGCCGGCGCTATGCCCTTTTTGGAGACCCGCCTCGAAAATCCACAAGAGGCAAATGAGTATGGCAAACGTGGGGAACGGAAATTTTGAGGGTGCGAGTAGTCAATTGATCATTGTCGGAGATTTTGATGAGCCGCGGCATGCAAATGCAGTAGAGGTCATGCAGGCTTCAGCTGTCTCCAGCGTCTCGGTTGACGGAAGACGCGTAGACATGGAGGAGATATCGCAGACTATACAACTTCTATCGGAGGATACTTTGAGCGAAATTTCCAAAGGACCATTGGTCAGATTTACGCAGGAATGTGATAGCGTCGAGTAAGATAATGCTTTTAGGCTCTCTTCTGGACACTCTCTAGTCAAGTTTTCTGACATTGCCATAGGAAGGTGAGCCGGGTATGGCAGAGCTTGTTGAAGACATTCTCCACAGCATCCATTCCCAGTTCTCATATGACAGCATCATGTAATGCTGTACGTGCGTTTCTTGATGCAGCTGCTGTGTCCAAGTGCAAAGGCACTAGGCAGCTTGTCCAGTCACCAGACACGTGGCTCTCTGCATTCGAGATGTTTATAACTCGATTTGAAGATGCGAAACCCAAGTCGATGAAGCAGGTTCTAACCTCCTTGGTCAAATTATTGGCCAAAAGTCGGCAAGAACCTAGCTCTCATTTAATACAAGCTGGCCTGGTAGATGCTATCCTCCCTAGTATCATTCTCGGTGAACCGCGTGCTCGACTCAAGGCTTTCCTTGTCTCGCTTGAGATTATCACTCGCAAGAATGCTATCTTGCCCAACGAGTTGATATCCATGCTCCAAGTGTGGCTGTCGAAAAACAGCGAGAAATGGGTGTCCCTCCTGCAAGAGGACTGCAAAGCCTTATCCATGGACGTCTCTCTGCTCTCCAATGAAGTTTCGTGCAACACTAAGAGAATAGAATCCAGAGGGCTTGCTGTGCAGATCCTGCTCCTGGGGCTTCTGAATCAGGCGAAAAACCCAGAGCTTGCCTCAAGTGCCGGTGACACTATAGCTGCAATTTTTCAAAGACTCAAAAGTGATCCTGGTCTTGCACAGGAGGAGCGCGCTCTCCTTTCAGTCTGGATTCCTCCGGTCAGGTATATGGTTCTACAGAACCTGGACAATCTGGAGCCTCTATCGAATTATGTTCTTCAACCCCTCTTCCTCAATGACCCCACTGGATTTCATTCCTTCTTGGACAGTCTACCTCTCAAAAATGTCTTTGCTGGTGATATGGCTGATGCTGCATTGCCGGAACTCACTGTCCTATTTGCCTCTTTACAAGTGGCCAAGAAGACCGGCCTGGTTGACGAAGACTGTGAGTAACCGAATATTGTCTAGATTTAATATGGCCATTGCGTACTAACTGTCCCTTAGATGGCTCTGCTAAACAGGGAAAGGGCATGAAACTCTCCCTACCGAGTGAGGTCATTGGACAATTTTTATTCCATCGGGAATTCAGCATCAGAATAGCAGCACTCTCACTCCTAATATCAGCACCTGCCACCACAAAGCCTCTTTCATCTGCCGCTATCCGTGCAATTCTCAGGGGTTTGCCCGCTATGCACGCTGAGTCTGACTCTTATTCTCGAGGGGAGATCATCAGCTTGCTCCGTAAATTGATCGTACGCTTGAAGGGTGGTATATTGGATAACCAGGATAGTTCGGGTCAGGAACAGCAGTCGACAGACAGAAAGCAGCAGGCAAAGTCTGGCCGGAGCGATTCGGAGACTCGAGCATGTCTCACAGCCTACATTGATTTCCTCAAAGCAGACATGCGGCCCACCGCCTCTTATCCTCGCCATATCATGGCTCTCAAGACAATAAATCTTTTCCTCCAGTCTGGTCTTGATTCCCGCGTCAACGTGACCAAGCGTGCCAATATGGAAGAGGATAAAGTTCGCTGGAAGTTCAACATCGAGGTATTTGACCTGAGTCTTATCCGATTGCTCGTGGATCTTCTGCTGGACCCCTTTGAGGAGGTGCGAGCCACGTCTTTGACTATCCTGAACCTGGTTCCAGGAGACATGCTTTTGGGCGGCCTTCTACAATCTGCAGACCGATCATCGGCCATGCCATTGCGACTGATCGACGCCCTGGCAAAAGCCGAGCAATTGGCCAGCAATACCAGCAGAGCTGATCATGCTGATACTGTCGCCCGACTATACCATATCGTCTTCAGCGCCGCAGCTGAGACTCATTCGGGTGGCGATTCACAGTGGTGGGAAACCAAGAGGGGAGTGGTTGATCTGCTTCTGAGAAAGCTCGAGGGCAAAGTTTCCAATCCCGGTGGTCTTTTTACCACCTCGATGCGGGACGCTCCTCTTCACGGATATGTGTCTGCTCTAAGGTGCGTGAATTTCCTCTTGCAGGTATAGGTGGATGACCAACTTTTCAGATACATTGTTTCGACGTCAAATTTCCATCAATTGATTTCAGATCATGTATCAGCAACCGGTGATGACTGGAGACTTCTTCACACAAGGATAGTGTCTATTTGTGACCGAATTTGGGAGGCAGTCAAGCCTATTTTGTGCATTGACTCGCCAGAAGGTCACAGCGACGAGCCGATAGAGGAATTCAACATCGGGCCAAAGGATATCCTGTCTTATTCCTGGCGTGCTCTTCGCGAGGCAAGGTATTTTTGCTTCTCTGGCAACGTCATTCGGCCGCTAACGTGATAAAGCCTTCTGCTTCATGCGACTCTTGCCAATGCAACATATGCGCCTCAAGGGGAGTCCGGGTTCACTGCCGATGACTATGAGAAAATAGGGATGTCCAGCTTCACTCAGCTTGCTGAACTTCGCCACAGAGGAGCATTCTCGACCGTATCTCAAACTTTCGCTACTTGTTGTCAACGATGCGGCCAGTCGAACGATCCTGCTATCTCTGCCCTGCCTCAGCGATGGTATCAGGTAAGAGAACAGGTATAGTGGGGAAATTCAGGATTCAGAGACTAACGAGTTTTATATAGGAGGCGAGGAAGATCATATTTGAGGCAGCTTCTCAGCTTACAAGGCGCTCGGCAGGTCTACCAGCCTTGGCCACAGGGATCCTTCTTTCGAAGCCAGGAGGGCCGCTCTTCCGACAGGTCATGGATGAGCTCCATGAAATATCTCACCTTCCTGCTGAGCAAGATCGTATCAAACAAAAAGTCGAATTACCACAGGTTCATGCCATGAATTGCCTAAAAGACATATTTACGAATACCAAACTCGGTCCTTTCACAGAATCTTATATCATGCCTGCCCTTACTCTATCGGCTGAACGGCTAGGATCGCCTATGTAAGTACAAGGTTCCCTCGAACGTTTGTTCGAAAAGCTAACCGGACTAGATGGGCTCTTCGCAACTCTGGACTGATGCTTTTCCGTGCTCTCTTGACACGTATGTGTCGCCTACTGACAGGAGCCAATTTTGGCTTTGGCGGTAGCTCCGGATCAGAGCCCGGTGCCAGAATTTCGTTCCACAAGTATCCTGGTCTTCTTCAGTTACTGTCAAATCTTCTTGCTCCAACAGACAAGAAACAGGCGAGTCAATTTGATGATCACGACATTGTCACTGAACGGGTGTTCCCAGCGCTGGAGTTGATCGCTGAAAAGGTTCCATCTGTTTCTGACGATGACGATATTTTGCTTCGCAATCTCGTCCGCGAGCAGTTCAAGAGCCCCGTATGGGGAATCAGAGAGCACTCAGCCCGAGTATACGCTTCTCTATTGAAGCGCGCCGACATCTTGACGGAGATTCGGGCTCTGTTGGAAGTCGACCGAGGCCTGGAGTCTCAGGACTTTCTTCATGGCAAAGCGCTCTGTGCCAAGTACGCTCTGCGCAGATTTGCATCCATCTCTCTTCCATTCTGGAATAGTATGCTCCCCGCCTTGTTGCATTCGTATATCATGTGCTAACAGGGCATAGATCACTTGAGCGAGGTAGCATCCGTCATACAGGATATACTTGCAGCATTGTTTCCCTCTGCCCACTCGCCATTTGTCGCCACTACATTGATAGAAATTCTCAATGACACTGTCGAAAAAAGCATTGAATCAGGCGCTGAAGGTGAGTTGAACCAAGGTTGATTGCAAGGATTGTCACTAAGACCCACCAGATTCAGCTATTCATATCGTCAATCAAGCGTCCGATGCTTTCGCCTTTGAAGACGTATTAAACTTTCTGTTCGATTCATCCCATCGTCACTGGAGAACTCTAAATACAACTCGTGCCGCGTCTCTACTTCGGAGAGTACTCGCTTGGACCTCAGTCCTGCGGATGTTAATATCTGGTAATGTGGAGAATTTGGAATCCTTTTTCCAATGTGTATCCTGCTTCGATTCAAATGCCGGTCGGTGGATAATTGAGCAGATGCAAGCCGTTCTGGGAGAGAGAGGACGCTATAGGGAACCTGTGCTCACATTATACTCTTCAGTCATTCGGGGAAACTACACAGCAGAAGTCAAAATGGCGGCGGTCTCTTCGCTTGAGACTGTTTTGCGTATTGTTCTTGAGTCCCGGGAAAGTGATTTGAAGGCAATCGGACTCCCATGGGATGTTCTGCACGAGCAAATAGACTCGAAACCTCGCGATGAAACCCCCAATCGAGACATGTCGAACGTTGAGCTGCGTCTACAAGGATGTCTCTTGACTATTAGAGCATCCCTGAACCATTGGAAAGGAATGGAGAGAGATATTCGCCGGTGGGTGACTAGACTCCGTTTCGCGATGCAGGAGGAGACGGTAAGCTATCAGTCATTCCGTTTGGAACGCCTGGGGCTGACAGGATATAGGAATTCACAACACGTCATGCTGCGGTGACTTCTCTGACAACTTTCGGACGCATCTTGCGGCCTGTTGGCAGCCCTCCTCAGGTCGACGCTGTCTTCCTGGAAATTTACCTCATTCTTTATGACATGTTAAATGATGACGACGAGGAGTTGCGTGAACTTGCAGCCTCAACAGCATCCTGGATCCTGTCCTATTCCACCGTTTCTCCTTCGAAAGCCGTGACTCTGGCTCCTCGGTATGCCAGCGACCTCCTTTCGAGATTTATCGTCGATAGTTATGCCCAATCTTCCTTCCAGTGTACGAGAATCATTCAGTACATTACCGGCCAAGCTCCGAAAGTCAGCGGTTCTGTCGACAAACTTGGATTAAAGGCGGTGGCAGACCAGCTCCGCGAGCACAGAAAAGAAAGTACAATTCTCTTCGAAGAAGAGAAACAGAACCTGTTCATCGACGAAGTGCGTGAAGTTGATGTCTGGGCTCCAATGCTCCTCCAAATGGCAGAATCATCCTTCGACCCTGACCTTGTGCGCGAAATTACTAGATGGGTGTTTGAAGGGCTATCGTATATCTGCGAATTCGCTGTCAAGGAATCGGGTCATGATGGCCTTTTGGGCTGGGCTTCAAAACCCGAAACATTCACTCTTGGTGTGCGTGTCATTAGTATTGCGGGCGTTCTGGTATCTCGGCATTTTGCTGCTTCGGGATACTTGAGTGAGGAACAAGCCCAGCTCAAGAAGTTACTTGAATCTCTCTCTGAATCTGGGCGAGTGATATCTCTTCAAGACGACTGGCTCGCGAGAGCGCAGCAAGCATTGCAATGCGCTTGAGTTGATATTTTCCGGTATAGACAAAAGTCAGGATAGAAATGAGATAATGAATATATGTTTAGACAACTCAGTCTGGTCAGTCCATAGTGAGGCGTGGTCAAGTGTCCGGTCACCGTTGAATGGTGAATTGATCAGTTCTCTCAGTTGCGCCGAGTGAGGCTTCTCACTTGCAAGTTCGAGTCAGCTAAACACAGACTATGAGAGCCTCAGAAGGACTATGCGTTCAAGTACTCCAGTGTGAGATGCCTGTGTAGCGAAGTGCATTTGGATCACTTCCCCTCAGTTTGACGACAGTCAGTCTCCAGAGGCCAGCCTGTGAGTAATCTGGGATTTCTCGCCTTCTCGACAACACTAACAGCACCAAGGCTCTACAGCTTGACCAAGTCGACAATGATTTCAAGCCTCGCCATCGCCGTTGTCCTCCTCGCAGTGCTCGGATTAGTCGCAATCGGCGTGGCCCTCACCTTCAAATGGCGAACAGAAGTCAGACGGAGCCTACGCCTACAACAAGAAGAAATACGACAGAGAGATGCCCACGCCATCGCAGCGCAACTCTTATCAGCAAGGGAAGAACGAGGAAGAAGGGCAAGGTCAAGATCTGCGGCTCCAAGACCGTTAATACCAACTAGAACGAGGAGAAGCTCGCGACGGGTCTCACCCATCGGCCGACCTGTACAGAGAAACGAGGTCAGGAGGTCTACGACAAGAACAGAGAATACTGTGCATCAGCAGCAACAACAGCAAAGGCCATCAACACCCCCACCTCCTCCTGCAGGTGCTCCTCCCTCATCTCCTGCTCAACCGGCAGCGCCGCAGTCATCTCCTCCGAAACCCTCTCCTCCAGTGGCAGCAGCGACAGATGATGAATGGCAGAACAACGATGCACAGCCAAATACGCAGGTATCCCAGGGAGGGGCAGAAGGACAATATGACCCATGGGCAGCGAGTGACGCAGCACAAGGGCAGAACTCCCAGGGACAAACTGAGGGCGGATGGAAAGCCAGTGACGCTTTCGCTCCGGCACAGGACACTCAGGGAGAACGGTCAGGGAACGGGAAAGCTGGCGACGGTACAACTACGAAGGCGACTGAGGAAGCAAAGCCAGTCGAACCAGAGGCTACCTGGTAGATAGTAAGGTATTCGTTGTTTACACTCGTTAATTCATAGGTCAATTAGAGGAGGTAAATACAGGATAAATGACGTTGCTTGGTGGTTAGGTCGGTTTGTTCCCGAGGCGGTGACGTTGTTGTAAAAAGAACTCCCCCCGCGGATCTCCAGGCGGTGACTTTCCCATTGCATCTTACTCCTCTCCACATAGAACATCTAGCTCTCACTCTGGATCCATCAGCTTTGATTTCTCTTCTATGCCGATTTATCTGATGCCACTGTCTTCTCTACACTGATTCTGCCCGCTGTATGTTCTAAATTTTTTTTTTTTGCAAGTGCGTTAAGCTCGGCTGTTCCTGCGATTCCCAGCCCCCAACATGTGGAACGACGAGGATAACAACCCGTACGGCGCATTCGATAGCGAGGCACGTCTTTCGGAATCGCTACACTCTGCAGCATTGTCACCTCGTAATACTTCCCTTTCGCATAGTCTAATTTCACAACTGACGTTTTCAGCTCTCTATGATCCCGAACACAGTCCGTCACCCTCCAGCCGATCCTCCAACCAGGATCCCCCCGAGTACATTTCCCGACCGCAGGATCTGAGCGACGAGGATGAATCTGAAGACTATGGCGCCCAGCAGACGAGTCACGGTTATTCCCGAAAGAGCCATTACGATAGCCGTATAGAACAGATTCTCTACGAGAACCCGGACATGCCGATCATCATCACGGACGCCGGGAAGAACCATGAGGGCGGCGGTAGTTTCATTGTATATACGATACGGACTGGAGTATGTGCTGGTTAAAGCGCATAGGGTAGAGATGCTCACAAAATCTAGGATCTGGAAGTCCGACGACGATACTCCGAGTTCGCTTCCTTGCGACAGACACTGGTGAACCTCCATCCCACGCTCGTCATCCCCCCGATTCCAGAGAAGCATACAATGGCCGATTATGCTGCCAAGCCTACCAAAGCCAAGGAAGACTCCGCCATCATCGATTTGCGCAAACGAATGCTTGCCGTCTTCTTGAATCGGTGTCGCCGGATGAAGGAAGTTCGGGAAGATGGAGTCTGGTGGAGATTCCTCGATCCGAACGTTAGCTGGGTATGTTGATAGTATCTTGAATCATGCAGCTCGCGCAAGCTCAAGCTGACTTCATTCTAGAGCGAGGTTCTTCATTCCCACCCTGCATCGTCCGTGCCAAAGAATAACCTGAAGGCCCCTCCCCTCGACCCCGCTAACCCTACGGCTGCTCACTCCTGGCTTCCGGTTCCCTCGAGCTCCGCAAAGCTTAAATCGGCACCGAGCGGTGCGACTTCTGGCACTACGGACGCCGCCGCCAGCGTGCCTGGACCTGATGTACTGGGCCGTTTCCCGCCTGAATCGAAGAAACTGAGTGAACAGGATCTGGATCCGTACTTTATCAATTTCGAAGCCTCTACGCGGGAACTTGAGCTACTTCTTCAAGGTAACATCGAAAAGGTCAACCGTCGCACGCTGGCGCATCTGTCGTCCTTGTCTGCGGATCTCATGGAGTTGGGCGCGCGGTACAACGGTTTCTCTTTATCTGAACAGTCGCCGACCGTCGCTGCGGCTATCGAGCGCATCGGTCAAGCGGCTGATACGTCCTACATTGCGACTGAGGAGCTGTCGTCCTCGCTAAGCGCAAGTTTTGCAGAGCCCATGAGGGAGAGCGCCCAGTTCGCCAGTGTTGTCCGCAGCGTGTTACGGTACCGAGTTCTCAAACGTGTGCAAGAAGAGATGACACGAGATGAGCTGGCCAAGAAGAAGACTCTGCTGGATTCTCTAGAGAGAAGCGAGCTCGAAGCGAAACGTATCGAGCAGTATCTCAATCGTGCCTCACCTCAATCTGCGCCGAACCGACCTCAACGTTCCTTGTCTGCTTCATCAGCAGCCAGTGGCGCTGGCAGCCGTGAGGGGGATGGGCGCTCTGCGGGTTCGGAAGACACAGCTTCTGCGGACTCCGATTTCCCACCTACTCATGGAGAGGCGATCAGCTCGCAGCCGCAGCCATACCCCACTTCTCCGCCTCGGAGGCCTGAGTTGGGGCCATCCGCTCCTCCCGCTCACCGCAAAACGTCAAGCGGCACGTTTGTAGCGAACAAAATATTTGGTCGCATTAGTCATGCGATACATGGCTTTGCCGATGTGGACCCCGAACGCACGCGACGAGATCAGATTGGAAAGACTAAGGAGAGCTTGATACAGGTTAGTTGTCAATTGACTTCTTGGCATTGCCCAGCACTGATGCCCTTTCTCTACAGCTGGAACAAGCGCTCGAAGTCTCCGAAAAGGATGTCAAGGACGCGAGTGCCGGAGTATTACAAGACTTGAAGCGGTTTCAGAAGGATAAGGAGGCCGATTTACGGCGATATATGGTAGGTTGTCCAGGGCGAGAAGATTCGCGTCGAAAGGTGACCATGCTGATTTGTCGATAGGTCGCATATGCTCGCTGTCATCTGGACTGGGCGCGAAAGAACCTGGAAACTTGGACAGAGGCCAAGGATGAGGTGGACAAGATTGTCGCTCGATAGTCTGCACATAGAGAGGTACCGGTGATTGTTTCGTTGATTCAAGAAGCCGCGGGGTCGTGCCCCTGGGGCGTTGGTGTTGTTCAACTACATTGCCTTCATATATTTGCAGCCTTAAATCAGCACAGTGTGATACCACTATAGTACACTTCTGAGACTACAGGCCATTTTCATTCTCATCCAATAATACCGCTCAACCTTTGGTGTGTCTGCCTTTTCCCAGGGTATCCTCTGAGGCGTTGGAGGTGAACAAACAGGATATGAGTCCAATAGGATCGTAAGAATATCCCGTCTTTGAGCATTGTCAATGCTGTCATTTGTTTCACGGAAGAACAATGCAATGTACAAGTAGAGATGTTAGTGTCATCACTGCTATGCTCCCAGTGCTGTGGGGCGATAAAATGCGGCGGAATGCTTGACTGTTGCAGGAACCTATTAGCGACCATAGTTCCTAGCACGAGGATTTAACAAGGGAGCCTAGAAAAGTCCCAGTTGATTCATCATCACCGTGAGCGGGAATTATTTAGACGATTTATGGGATGGCTTGACTTATCCTCTTTCTGCAGCTGAGACCACTCTGGCTCATACATCCACTGTTACATTTTTTTCCTTTGCGCCCATTTTACTGCCGTTGGTCTGTCCTTGCGTAAACAACATTCAGGATCGACCCTTTCTAAGGATCAGGAACATCAAGGTATCGCTGCCACTACCAACGTAATGATCCTGGCTTGAGAGCTACCCCTTGCTGTTGCGTGGGTTTGCTGATTGGTGCTATTGTCACCACTCATCGCTTGCATCGCTTGCCGTCATCATTGGCGACGTCTTTTGCCCTCTGAACCACTCACTCAGTGCTCCACAATCGTCACTTGCATCGGCTCCAAAGAAGGAGTGAGATCTTTCATCACCAAACTAGGAGTCTTCCTGGCGATCCTGATCCGCAAGCCCTACATATCAAGGGCCAAACATCTGTCCGCCCTCCCTAGATGGTTATGTACCACATTGCCCCCGTAGCAATTTCATCAGATGCTCCGCAATGATGAAGTCCAGAGGCATACACTCCTGTCCGAGATGATTGCCAGGGCATCCGGTTTCTCAGCGTGGCTTCTGCCGTCTTATACGCGGCCCGGAGGCCATCCTCCGTCATGGCTTGCACCAATTTGGCCATCAGCCGCTCGTCGTCGTGTCATCAAAATGGTCGTTCTGGTAGCTCTCTTCTGCTTTGTTACATGGGCACTATGTACTCGCATACCGCTGCATCCCGTGCAGGGGACACAACAACTGCAACAGCCGGAACAGACACCACACCCTCACCCTCGGCCTGAAGACCCTTTCCCGCCCACGCACGCGACTGACTTTAGAATTCATGACCCGAGCATCATCCACGTCGATGGCACGTACTACTCGTACAGTGTGGGCAAGCATATTCTCATCCACCAGGCACCCAGTCTCGACGGGCCGTGGAAACGCACCGGCACCGTCCTCGACGCGGACAGCGTGATCCCCAAGGGCGACCGGAAAGCCCCCTGGGCGCCGCAGACCATCCGCCACGGCGACACGTACTACTGCTTCTACGCCGTCAGTAACTCCGGATGCCGGGACAGTGCCATTGGCGTCGCTACATCCAAGTCCCCCGGTCCTGGCGGCTGGACGGACCACGGGCTACTCGTACAGTCCGGGACAGGAAAGGGCTCAGATGAACACCCGTTTACTAGCTCCAATACCATCGATCCGAGTGTGCTCGTTGGAGAAGACGGTCAAGGATACCTGATGTTCGGGAGCTTCTGGTCGGGTATCTGGCAGGTACCGCTAGACGAAACCCTGCTTTCGGTGGCAGGCGATGCGAGATCCGAGGCACGACAGCTGGTGTACATGGAGAAGGCGCCGCTGCCGGCGAGCAAGCACCCCAACCCGCTGTGCCGGGAGCCGTCGGGTGCCCGTCCCATTGAGGGGAGTTTCCTCTCATACCGTGAGCCATGGTATTATCTCTGGTTCAGTTATGGGAAGTGCTGCAAGTTCGATACGAAGAATCTGCCACCTCCGGGAAGGGAGTAAGTGTCCTCTCTGCTGGATCGGCAAATGCTGTTCCTGACGTAAGCAACAGATATAGCATCCGAGTTGGTCGATCCAAGAGCCCCCGGGGGCCATTTGTCGATAAGCAAGGCAGAGACCTCGCTAACGGTGGCGGAGAGATCGTATATGCCTCCAATCACGACGTTTACGCACCAGGGGGACAGGGAGTGTTGGCAGAAAAGAGCGGCGATATACTATATTATCATTACTGTAGGTGCCCCGTCGTACAGAGATCGAGGTGATGCTGACCTTACAGTGAACAAATCACTAAGCTATGACTTTTGGGTAAGAACATTCCATATTCGGAAGGGTAATGACTAATTAGTCGCAGGAAGCTCGACTGGGATATAATCCGTTGAAATACGTGGACGGCTGGCCTGTCCCCCAGTAGATGCAATCATGCAATGATCAAATCAGGATAGACTAGAGGAGATATAGATACGGCCTAGGTCAGATACGGTTAATGCATCGTCTCCAATAGAGCAACGATTTCAAGATAATTCAACAGCAGAAAACCGCCATCCAGTCTAAGGTATATACACCACTCTACATCTATACACCCTCAACCCTGGTCGCCCAGTCTATCTCTACCGACACAAAGCGCAAACATCACCCAATTGAACGCCGGCATCTATCACCCACAACATACCCATCTAAGCATCATCAACACATCAACCCGCTCTTCTCTACCATCGTCTATTCCCAACCTAACAGAACTCACCCCTCACAACCTCTCCCCTTCACCTCCCTTCTCCGCACTTGACTCCCGACCCCTCACCTTCCCTCTATTCCCCTTCTTCGTCGTCCTCAACGGCGACAACAAAGGCGACGAAATAACCCTCACACCCACAGCCACAGCCACACCACCACCAGCGGTAGCACTCTCATCAACGGAACCCTGTCTTCCAGGAACAGCCAACGACGCCCCCTTCCCCCATTTCCCCTCTTCCCCTCGACAATCCCGCTGCGCATACTTCCCCTCACGCAGACGCAGCGGGCCCTCCTCCGCCTCAACCTCAAACTCAAGACTAGGACCGAGATCCAGGACGCTGATCTCGCTATCGCTGAGGAGGAGACTTCTCCGTCGAGAGGGGTATTGCTGGGTGTGGACGTCTAGTCCGTTGTTGTTCCTGTTCTCGGTGGAGCCTGTCACTGGGCCGTTTGTATTGTTTTTTGTGGTATGGAGGCGAATGGTCGGGTGAGGATGAGGATGAAGATAGGGCGTTGAGTCTTCATCGGGTGGTGCTGATGCTGCCGCTCTTGGTTCTTTGGACATTTTGCACGTACTCAGAAGTAGTAGATGAGGTACTGATTGATTATTGAGGGCGTTATATGAGGAGAAGATGCGAGGAAGAAGCGCAGGTGTGTGTTGGGGGCTTAACCAGTAGAAGGACGGCGAGGGTGCAGATGAACAAAAAACATACAACTATGGGTAATTCTTGATCGTCCATGCGGTTGTAGTGCTTATCGTTTCAGGAGGAAAGAAGGACATTTTGGTTTGTCTGGAGAGCGGATTATAATGGAAGGAACAGGTGAAGTATATATACAGTGGGAAGTATCAGATGATAAATCACATCTTTCATCAGAATCTCACTCCATGTGGATAATCAAAGAGGCTATGACGTTCTATGATTCTTTGAGTTGGAAATATATCGTAGATTAGAAATGTGACAAGTGATGATGATGGTGAGGCTCTGAGCAGGTGACAGCTTCATCGGTCTCTGCTCGGTCATCTGATAGTCACTCGAGACATTGTCACTTCCCACGTCTTACTTATGAACAAGTACTGTACCGCTGATTCCAGATGTTCTACCGTTTCCCAGAGTATGAAAATATGATAAAAAAAGGAAAATAAGGAAAATCCTTTATGATGCAAAGCGGGAGGAGAAGTCCTCTACCGTCTGAGACAAAAATAACAATGCTTTTGAACACGGTGCTCACCAGATGCACCTTCATGACTCTTCGTAGACACAATGTAAATGCATGGATGGCTTGTATGGCCCACCCCAGGAAGTATTAGATCTAACACAGTGCCCTCAACACCCCCTTCCAAACAATAATTATGTATAAACATCACGAATGGCCGACGGAGAAAAACGATGCAGATATCGCTCCTCACCAGACAAGACAAAGATACTGGTCGTCGACTTCATCGCGGTACTCATCAAGCAGCCGTATTTCTTTCGCGGTGATCGCCTCTGTAGTTGACCAAGCCGGCTTTTGCTCAGTCCGAGACGATCTGGTCATCATCATTCACCCGTAGCTCCACCACGGGTAAGTCTTCATCGTCATCACCGTCTAGTGGCGGAGGGATGTCCTGAATCGGAGCTTCCTCCATGGGCGTGCCTGGGAACACTCCCTGACCGATTGGGCTTCCGGTCAATGCGGCGAGGCGCAAGTCGGAGTCGCTCAGATCTCCCCCGCCCACCGCTTTGTTGCTGGCATCGTCGTCGAACAAATCCTCGTCATCAGATATCGATCCCGGAGGTACTGTGGTCATCTGTGAAAGGCCATGAGCATCTGTGACTCGGTCGAAGGACCACGTGGGTTGGCTTGTGTAGGGGAGCGGGTTGGCATAGGCTCCATCGCCGAACTCGTCTTCATCAAAGCTCATACCTTCCAGTCGGTTTGCTTTCGCAAGGCTCTGCTCGCCAGCGGCTGGGCTGTCCGAATAGTCAGGAGGTGATTCATCATCGTCGTCATCACTGTCCTCATTCCTCGCCCGGATTCCAGTTCGCAAACCACCATCTCCCGCTTGGTGAGCTGCTCCGACTCCGGCTAAGGCGCTCGACGACCCATTGCGGGAGGAGCCGCCGAGACGCCGCCCGTTCCCCGAAGGCGACTGCCCACGGGACCCAGCCGGGGAGTTATCCTCGCTGGCTGGTCGAGTTGATGACTCGGTGATTTCTTCCAAGATCTTTCCGCCCAGCGGGCGGTCTGAACGTCGACGGTAAAACAATAAATACGCGGCGGGAGTCACCACACTCTGGGGATCAAGTGGTCGTGAGACAGACGAATCTACCAGTTCCCGTCAATAAACACGGTTATCCTTGAAGGAACGCGGTCACAGAAAGCTCTTACCATTGTACTCGTTCCATTCGCCACTCATAAAGTTCTTCGCGTAAGCCGTATAGTGACCGCCTCCTAATCCACCGTAGTGGTTATCAACCGCGAAAAGATCATAGATTAGGCTCTTTCCCTCTTCCGGCGATTCGACGCGGCCGCTCATGTCTAGCCCTTCAACGGGGAAGTCGACCAGGACATCCAGCTTGTCCCTGAAACCCCTGCTAGCGCTGAATCTCTTCAGGTGCATGACAAGGATGTCGGGAGTCTTCCACAATTCGAACTTCTTGCTGGCTCTGCGATGCTCCTTGCATCGGGGGCAGTACCATGCATCATTCTCGGAAAGAATCTCCTCTTTGTTGAACTCGTCAAGACATTCGTAGAGAGTAACGCCCCTCTTCTTCCGGCTCCGGCGAAGATCACGGCGTTTGGCGAGTTCCGGATCAGGAATGCGCTCTACGTTGGTCCATGTAGGAGTTCCACGTAGCCCGTCAGTATCCTTTTTATCCCCACCAAATAGGGCATCGTGGGCTTGATCGTTCCAATCCAGCACGATACCTTCACCCGGGCGGATTAGAGGACGCTCATCGGTTTGGGTCTTTGTAGCCTTAGGGCGACTGATGTTGGAAAACATGTCAGAGTCGCTGTCAGAAGCACTGTCGGCGCTTCCATCCTGATCCGAGTCATCACTGGTCTTTCGGTCGGCCACTGTATCGGATGTTGTCTGCGAATGTACACTGTTGTCAGATTGCCTGCCTTCTGTGACAAATATATTTTCGCAGGTGTTTACCTTCTTCTGTTTGCTAGCCGACTGTGCCTTGACCCTGGACGCCATCAACGGATAGTCTTTGATATCGTCGACTGAAGACCAGCCGAGAGGCACAACCTCGTGGGACGACTTGATAATCTTCATGTCGAAGAGGCTGCGGAGGCCAGGTGCAATAGAGCTGCCAGGGCTCGAGACAGCATTTTCACACTTGGTGTCTTGGGAAGATGGAGTATCCGTCTCGTCCGAAGCGTCGCGCATGGAAACGTCCACCAAGCCATCCTCACCGTCCACGGATGAGGTCTTGATTTTAGAATCGGCTGATTGCGCGTCGTCTTCATTCATCACAACGGTATCCGAATCCTCTTGAGTCCCCCCTTGCTCGTCAGCTTTCTTAATGTTCTTCTCATTGAGAATATCTCGCGTTGTCAACGTGGCAACAGCTTCAAGAACTTTGCGGAGGATGGCATCGTAGTCTTGAGCCTCTTCTCTGCTGATGATTACATACAAAGGAGCGCCGAAGAGTGACCGCTGCATATTCCCGCTGTTATTCGACTTTGGCCGGCAATGCCGACTGAAGATGGGCACAAGCATTCGGTCTGCCTTGGGTGAGTCAAAGCTTGGAATTTCTTCATAGTCTGAGCGACCATAAGAGAAGTAACTCTTCTGGCGCTTGTCGGGATTATAGTTGGTGGGAACAGACTCAACCTCAAAGATTGCGATGTCATCGCCTTGGCCGATCTGGCAATCAGCAATGGACGCAGAGTTGTCGAACATCTTGTAGAACTTGCACTTGTAAATTTCGGCCATGACGAGACGCTGAGGATCCGAGCCCATCTTCTTGGCTACTAACTCCTTGAGCGCCTTGATGCTGGCGTTTTTATCAATTTCCACGTCAACGATGACAGGCTTGCGGCGAAGAGGGAAAAAGAAGATCTCCTTGCTCCAAAGGTTTTCGATCGGAAGCTGAAGTGTCAGGTTGTTGAATGGATCAAAGATGATGCTGACCTTCTCGCAGACAGGACAGACAAGAGTTGACTTGTACATGCCGGCAAAAAGATCCGTGATGACCGAGTCATTGCGGGCTTTGTAAATGTCCCAGCATTTATTAGCAAACTCTTTGAGAGCCTCCTTGTCATGGACCATGTCGTCCGTGGAGTCTGGCTTCTCGATATAGGGCTTCTTCTGGATTCTGTTCAGATCTTCTTGCAGCCCATCCAGCAGGAACAGCAGAAATTCCTGCGAATCCTGTTGCCCGTATCCCGAGAATGCTGGACCATAACGACCAATGGTATGTTTAAACTGGCGGGGAGCGAACGACGACTGACCCGCTTCGTCGTAGAGCATGCGAAGAAGGTTTGCGTACACCTTGGCTATATCACCGTTATGGGCGAGAGGATTACTGGGGTTGAGATCTCTCTTATACACATCGTCTACCGAGATTGGTTAGTGATATAACAGCCACGGGCCAAAGGGAAATGTGAGAGTCCGTACTCAGGAAGTAGTATGTGAGTTCCTCCACACTGCGCACGCACTGTAGAGCAGAGTTCATGTAGCAGGTATTTCCGAGGTTGCTCAATCCCGTGCAGCCCCTGGGCTTTCCGTCTTTACGCCGGCCCCTAATAGGCTCTGGAGCGGGAGATGATCTACCGCTGTTGGTAGGACTCTTGTTCTTGAGCTTGGCAGGAACGCCACTCTTTACAATGCCACTTGGAACACCTAGTCGATCGAGTGTCTTCTTGGATACTTCTGAAGCCCACTCTCCACCAACGCGCTCCTCAAGCACCACAACATCACTGGTGGACAAGCCAACTCGATCCAAGGTAGATCGACCGTTGAAATTGGGATTATTGGTTTGATCCTTGACGTTATCGACCAGTTCTCGCTGGGCGCCGTCCGATAACGAGAGGAACGTATTGAGGTCAAGCACAAGGTTGTTGCCGGCATTGGCAACCAGGGAGGCCGTAGGTGCCGGAGAAGCGCTCCGGGACGCAGCGGGTGTGATTGCAGCCGATGCCGTGGCACTTCCCAGTCCCCCGAGGATCCTCCATACACGAACTTTGGTAGACATGTCAATATTGGCCAGTCCCTTCACTTGCTTCAGCCACTTTTGGAAGTTGGTGTGTCGGCTGGACAGAACCTTTGCAGGTGGCATATTCTTCTCTCTTAGACTCTGTGGAGTGGTCCCCGCGGCCGGGTTTGCTAGCTTCAGAACGGTGAAGATTGGTGGATGGAGCTCGTATTGAATATTTTGAGTATCACCTTCCTCCACGGTGTTGTGAGCATAGCGAACAATGGCTGGCGATTGACTGGCCAAGCCGTACCATCGCATGATCAGGTCCCAGCCTTCCTGGGGCACTATCTCAAAGTCCTCTCCCATCTGCAGACCTGGACGCAGGGGCACAAAGGGCTCTCCTGCCTCATCATGGAAGCCGGTAATCGCCGGG